AGCTAGATGCCGCCCTGCCTGTGCAGTGTGCAGCACTGACTGTGTGTGGGCGGACTGACTGTCCGGCGAGCAGGGCCTGCGGCGCCGCGCCGGCCGGAAACCGAGCCTGTCGCCCCACCCCCAGATCTCCAGCTTTGCACGCACCATGACGTCAGCTCCCCCCCCCCCCCCCACGTCCCTGGCTCGGACCCACTCCAGGCTGATGTTGGCACGATATTGCTCGCCCCGACTGGAAACGATGCTTCATTGGAGGTCATAATTTATCGTCGTTGGACTGAACCGTAGGCTGTAGAGTTGTCCTCGTGACGTCATCATCTAAAGGCGCAGCAGCTGACCTCGCGGGCAGTGACGTCACCGGATACTGACTTCATCTCTTTCTACCGGTGCCTTTCCGTCCTGCATATGAGGCTATCCCTAATTGCACTCGAAAGTGCGGAAGCTGCTATATTCTGCATTGTACATAGATCAGAGACCGTGAGGGCCGATCCCTTCCAGCTGACGAGTTTAGTCACACTTCATACCATCACCACTGGAGCGAGATTAACCGACACGGCGGTTAGTGACGGCATCATCGCACTGAAAGTGAATGGTCTCACCGCCCCCTCCACTGCCCCTCTCTCTACCCAGCTGCAGACTCATACCAAACGAACCAGTGAGAGTGAGCGTGGCCGCAGTGGTGGTTCTGGCTATAGACATGAGGGGCGCGGGCAGCGGGATCGGGCGGGATAACGCCCCCACGCTCGCCGGTGCTGTATCAGCCACTGCCGGCTTTGCAACAGCGGAAACCACCGGCCCGGAAACGGTCGATAGGGCTCACTGCATGGCTGAACTTAGCGGTGTTTTGGCCATTATGCACATGGAAAGTTAAATCGCCACGAATGACGTGCTATATTCGATTTGATAGTGCGTCTATTGCCCCGTGACCCCAACCATGGAAAGTCGCCCATTGTCGACATAATGCCCGGTACGTTAGCACGGTCTGTCAAACTTGCGGAAAGATTATGCGCTGCGAGCTGTTCAGTGCGACTCTGGTACGTCTGAACCACGATTCTTACAGTCTGAACTACACTTAACATTTCAGTCCGACCGATAATTCTCTTCGGCCCCCGTCTCTGTCCCTCCCTTGCAATGGGCATTCTCCCGTCGCTGTCTGACACTCATTTCTCTCGCCTTTGTCCGATGCAATGCATGTCTCCCGTGACTCTGCCTCTGTCCGCCCCTCTGCACTCTAATGTGCCGGTCAGACGGTTCGCCACCACCTCGTTACCTTATAAGGCACGGCGAGCGGTCAGCTGGCCGGCCGGCCGCCGTTTTTGTGCCCCTGGCGAGTGGTACCAGCTAACGGAGGGTCATGCACGGGGTGCGAGACGAAGCTTACACAGGACTCGTACTCACTGGAGGGAAGGCGCACTTACTGCTGCATTGATGCCCACTGTATATATAACTATACCGTATTACATTTTACGCTCCCTTGCTGTAGAACAAAAATGGTGAGCGTGCAAATTTTACAAATGCGTAAAATTTGTAAATTACTTGTAAAAATGATTTGGCATGTTTTTTCATAATACGAGCTATGTAGTGTGTTCGGGGAAAAGGAAACCCGTGTCGCAAGATCGCAGCGAGCGGAAGCACTTCCGCGATACCTGCACCTTCGGCGCACCTCAACCGTCTTGTTATCGGACCGGCCCCGTTTTTATGCGAGGCACGCTCGAGAGAGCGTGCCTCGGCGCAGAGTTCGAAGTGCGCGCTGTGCTATCGAAGGCAGTAGGCACGACCGGCGTGCTTCCACTGCTGTGGAAGTGGAAATTCTAGTCTGGAAAAGACCCGCCACGCCCTCAGCTTGATTGTTGTTCGGTCACTCTTGGGCGTTCGAGTAGAACGGTCAGCATGTGGGGGGCTCGGCTCCGACGTGAAGGCGTGCAAGTGTGCAGATGTGTACTACAGTGTCACGAACTGTTGAGGAGGACGGGTCCACAAGCCCCAGCGGGGCCTCGGCGACACCTGCGTGATGATTGCTAATGGAGCGAGGATGCTACACGCTCACCCCTCAGTTCCCTATCACAGCCCAGACTGCTGCTGAGCTCGGATCTGTCCCGAACTGTAACACATGGCTAGGGGAGGCTGAAGCGCGCAGAGGAGAGACTCCTTCGCCCACAGCGACCTCCCATGGGTAGCTCGCTCCGGTCCGGTTTAGCCTGTTGCCGGTCGGCCCGCCGCTGCCCGTTCCGCCCGGCCGGACGCGGCGGTCCCGGCGGGGTCAGAGGTTGAGCCGAGGCCGTCCGGTTCCATGACTCAGCTGTGGGACCTACAGCCGAGCCAAGGCCTGGCCCTAAAACTACAGCCGAGCGACCGTGATCAATCGCCTCAGAACGGGAGCACTGAACTCTCAATGGAGGACTGCTTGATGGTTTGGGTGTAACGCGACGAATGGTGAATGGGCAGTGAGGCTACTTGATTAATTTCTTAATGGATATCCGTTAGGCTACTGGACGTCTACAGTCTACATGCCTATGAAAAATGCGACGTGGCAAATTCACTTACATCGTCATACCGCAACGGAAAGGCGGATAAATCGTCTTCTTAATCGTTCTTTAGTTGTTCCGATGCGAGCAGAGATGCCAAATTTATTGAATTATATTTATTTAAAGGTCTTTAGATAAACACCTTTTGAATGCATCTGTCACCTGCATTACGCATTCGAAAATAACTCGGAGTGTCCTACTACTGCTTTTTGATGTAACAGTTTCTATTGGTCGTATATAGGTATACGGAGGTCGAAGGCGGACGATTTACGCCAGGGCAGGTATAAATCCCCGCACACGACCAGCGTGCTATAGATTCGCGTTGGTGAGGATTTGGCCGTGAGGCGAACTTGTAAGTCTTCTGCAGAGCCCAGCTATCGTAGGTATTAGGAAGCTCGCCATAGACGCTCAGATGCCTTCGACAGCTTGCTTTAGACGTGCACAGCGCAGAATGTCAATTGGTATTTCACGCACGTGACTTGCGCGACGCGATGCGTCTTGGGACATCAAATCGCGCCGACGCCCGGTCGTGCAGCTCGACAATGACGACAGCCGTCAGCGCTCCGCCGTCAGCTTATATGAGCTCGTTGCCGTCTTATCATGGCTTCCTGTGCCACAGTCAATACGTGAGACAGAACAGACGACTTGTTGAGTTGTGTGGAAGCTTCAGCAGCCCGTCTGTGCTGCCATTTACACTCGGTAGCGGTTGCGGTCAGTTTGTTCCCAAAGGGCGACAGGGTCAGATCACTCGCAGCGGTCCGTCGGCAGCTGCCGCCCTTCGCCACCCCCGTCGGCCGGACTACCGGCGCCCGGCTGTCGACACGGCAGGTGACTGACGACCATGACTGTGCAGCTGCTCTGAGGGTGGCCACAAACTCGCGAACAGGCGCGAGCCGGGAGGTCTCCCGCTCAGCGAGTCTCCCCAACCGAACTTGCCCGGTAACCTACCGACCGCGCCCAGCTGGGGGTGCCGGCGTGCGTTCGGTTTTTCGTTTGTTTGATCGGCCCTGCTCGACTTTCTCCTTCAGGCCGGCGGCGGCGGGCGAACCGTGTCCCAGTCGGTGATGTGGGCTAATTATCCGGCGCGGTGCGGCGTGTGGCGGCGCAGACACGGCGAAGGGCGGCGCAGCCACGTGATACATGGCCTCGTGGAGTGGCCACCTGGCCAGGGATCCGACCGGCTGATGGCTTTGTTCAACAAACTGCCCCGGGGAGCGAACTGGCTTTTAGAGAAATGAGATTACATTGTGACTAGATTCGAGCAACGTGCTGCTAATGATCATGAGTCTGGGTCATGATTATCATTTATCACCATCCAGATAGGCGAAACAAATTTGATAAGTGACGTCGTTGCAACATGAATCATGACTGGTTTGCGTTCACTGTAACGGTCATGTACCGGGCGAGTTCCTCGCCTCGTATACCAGTACAATTTCTTTTCGTGGCTTTGATACCGTTCGTGAAACGGCGTATAGTTCGGGCCGGTGCTCAGTCAGTGAGTCCAGCACAGCGGTGCTCCGATTACGTGTCGGCCCACAAATTGAGCCCGTGACTCGCACCGATTCGGTGAGATCGGCCTGCGGTTTTTATGCACGCTCAGCCTCGGTTCGTTCTGGTTTTGTCGGTAACACCAGCGGTACCGTGCGTTGTTAACGCTGAGTTGGACGGCTGGATTCGACTTCGGACTTGAAGTTGCCGAACCGGTCACTGTTTTATAGCTACTGACATGTTTTTGAGCTCGACCTCTGTCCTCTCGACATGACCGTAGCCCACTCCTTACCGTCGTCGGATCAGCAAGTCCAGTCCCGTTTGCGAGTTCCCGAGTCAGCCCTTTTCGCGCTCCTCCCTACCCGAGCGCCGTCTGCCGGCGCCCAGTGCCTTGTGACCTCCACCTATGACCTCTGACGGACTTCACCCCGAGTCGCCGTCTCCGCCACTACCTCACAGCCGCGGCCGCAGCCAGCCTGCCTCCCACCGCCGCTGGCTGGAGGCGGGCATTATTATTCGCCACATGGAAATGCGGCGCCGCCCAGCCCCCGTCCCGCCTCTACCCCGTCCCCGCCGGGCTGACATCTTGGACAGGCTAATCGAACGTCGGAGAATGCGGGGAGACGACCCGTCGTGTGAAAGAACCGGTTCTTAGCAATCTGGAGGAACATGTTTGGCAGTCTAAGCGGTTTGGTCTGAGCCGTCTGCCAATGCAGCCGCCGGGAAGTCTGCAAGACGTTCAGCTCGAAAAGCCCCCAAATGCTATCGAACAACCGTGCCGGTAACTCATATTGAATTCAAATGCGAGCGATGGTGGAGACTATTGCGATTTGTTTTCACTTTTGCCATTGTTTATCTTTAGGTGCTTAAATACCTAAGTTTGGCGTGCGTGATGCATCACAATTAACGTTTCTCTGTGAGAAAGTGTAAGCAGTGTTGCTGGTTGGTGAATGTCCTGGCTTTTGACCGATCTTTTTTGTTTTGTTCCAGATTCAACGCAGGCAAGATTTACACATATATCGGAGAAGTATGTGTGTCGGTAAACCCGTACCGGACCATCAACATCTACGGCCCGGATGTCGTCAACCAATACAAAGGTGAGGAAGAGACTAGGGGAATAGTTTGTTTTCATAGGAAATTGAGACTCATGCGGATGCTCTTCCACTCGGTCAGTTACGTCTTGTTTTCCTGTCAGCCGGCGCTATAACGTTAGCGCAGTTGTACATACGTGTCCATTTGTCTAAACGCCGTACTACGGGTCTTTTGCGGCTCCGACTGCCGACTTCTTCAGAGGTCCCATCCGACTGGATCTGAGGCTTTGCCATTTATTTATAGTACCATATATTTTGGTCCATGGGTCACGGTTCACCTTTTTACCCTGCCACCTGTATTCCCTGGGCGCCTCTCCAACATCCTATATCTGACACCCACTCGAATATTCAACACTTAACGCTTATGTATGTTGCACTTCAATGCCGCATTATTCTTAGGATTTGCTATTAGCTAATAAGCCGTAACTTCTACGCCAACCGGCTCGCTCGACGCGGAGCCACGCCCCTGCGCTGCGCTACCACCGTCACCCCGGGGCGGCTGGGCTGAAACTGTACGCAGCTGCAAAATAAACGCGCATTTAATATAGACGTGGACTGACGGACAGCTCGTATGCCGCCCCGCCCTCTCCCTTTGATCTGCGTGATGGTCTGCAAGGCATAAATATTCCGTTTTTTGAGCGCCTTTCGGAGTTCAGCACCCTTTGTATGCTAATCACGCACCCTTTGGTCAAATTTTCACCATTACGAGCTTTTATTCAGAAAGTGAGAAATGTGAAGGTGAGGGGACGAATCGAGAATAGTTTTTGCTGAATGTTTTGGATTATGTTGCTCTGTTTTTCGGACATAATCAAGTTGATTCAATCGATATTTTTTGCATATGTGTGCCTAGTGATGCATCATGCACGGTTGGCATCCTATTAGTCGGATATCAAAGAAGAGAACGGAACGTGCAGGTGCGACGAGAATGCCATACAAAGGAAGCCCTGACCTCCGCGCACAAGGCTTCTTTAACACTTACAAAGTTGTGTCGTGTCTCATTCAGTGCACGTTTGACTACCCTCCCCTCTGCCATACCGAAGTCACTCTGAAGGACCCGACACGGACAATCGACTCTCAGGCATCTCGGCTCACGCCCTCCAGTGTAGCGCGCTCACGCCTTTCGCCTGCAGCTAACAGACACGGACGAGTAGTCTTCTCGGTACAACGGCGGGCGTGCCCGCAATTTGACGAGACGTGCATAGCGCCCCTGACTGCATCTGCATTCACTTACCTGTCTGTTGTATGTCGATGATTAATGACTGCAGCGCTTCTATACGACACAAGGTGCTTTGTGACCCGTTACAAATCGTTCTGCCTGTAATATGTCACGTCAGCATCCGATATTTCATCTTACGCTTCCCATCCACTCTCTATCACCGTCTCTCACTGCTCTCCCTTATGGAACCGTAGACCAACCGTAGACCGTTTACTCTCACCTCGGGACACCGGATAGTGAGGTCCATCGGACCGCCCTCAAGGTCAGGTGACCTCACGGCGTCCCCTCACCGGCCCCTCCGAGTCGTTAGGTGGCGAGGCACTTCCGACCATAATCATGACCGGTTAGCCAAGCTGCACCGTGGTAGGGCCGAGTTCAGGTAGACCCGTAGTCCAAACAGTGAGATGCGAAGCCGATATATATGTATGTTTATTTGGTGATATTGTGCTTGTCCGCAGCGATTTTTGCATTGTGTTCATACTGAATTCTGAAAAGTGTGCTGTTTTCTGTAGATATGTTGCAATGGTAGGAAGAGTAAACACTGGAAGTGTGTTAATGCACTCTTTGGACTTATCGAATCGTCCTGTTTTAGTTATGCCCCTCCGGCCTCTCGCTTATAGTGCCTTAGCCGTCTCCCGTTTCAACTCCTATTTGATTTGTGCCCTCGAGCCATCGTTATACTCCCCGTTTATCCATGTCTCACTCTTCTCTTCCTCCTAACTCCCAGTGTATCCGTGTACCGCCTTACTCTCACTCTAACTCCCGACATCTTTGCCCACAGGCCGGGAGATTTTCGAGCGTCCGCCGCACGTGTTCGCTATCGCCGACGCCGCCTACAAGGCGATGAAGCGCCGCGGCCAGGACACGTGTATCGTCATCAGTGGTGAGAGCGGTAGTGGTAAGACCGAGGCGTCCAAGATCATCATGCGGTACATCGCGGCGGTTACCAACGTCAGTCAGCAGGCAGAGATCGACCGGTGAGCCTGGCACTGGGTAATACAACGTTGAAGAAGGAACAGGGCTGGTGTAATGAGAATGGATGGGAGGGAGGATTGGAAAGGGGATGAAGAGGGAGTTGAAGAAATGCTTCGTTTCGATAGCGGTCTAGATTGACGACTAGCTGGAATTTTAATGAATGTAGCGGATAAATTAGACTCAGGGGGACGACGATCTCAGGGTAGCAAGGGAGACGAATGAATAAGCTATGTAAGCTATGCGGCTACGGCCGTTCCATTCTAACATGCTCCTTTTTGCTTCAGGGTAAAGAGCGTCCTCATCCAGTCCAACTCGATTCTGGAGGCGTTCGGTAACGCGAAGACGAACAGGAACGACAACTCATCTCGCTTCGGCAAGTACATGGACATCAACTTCGACTTCAAGCACGACCCGGTGGGAGGCCACATCTCCAACTACCTGCTGGAGAAGTCGCGAGTCGTGCTCCAGCAGCCTGGCGAGAGGAATTTCCACGCCTTCTACCAGGTCAGCTCGAGGGCGTGTCGCAGCTCATCTAGAATTGATATGTTTATGTTATTCTGTTTATTCTAAATAACTGGACCGTTTTGAGGTTAGCTTTCTCAAACCCTGTATTGGGACGCTTTTGCTGGCACCTTTCAACTACCAAGTGATTCTTGTGAACACCTGTAAGTGGATACTGGACAGGCCTCGGAGTGCTGGGGGTTAAATACCCATGTGACCCTCCGACAGACCCTGTACCCGAAGAGCACAGGCCATAGGGTCATCGTGGGCTTCACTCAACAAGGAACCCTGCGCTGGTGTTATGACACCTTCTGTTTATTTATTTGCACTGGACGATTGTTTGTAGTTGAATGTGTCTGCTCCGGACGTGGCCCCGTTACAAGAAAACGGTGTGCTCGGCGGACTGACGCAGAAACAATAACCGGGGACGGTAACATCAATTAAGCAGAATTGCTGACGGGACCATACGCAGAAATGTGTAAACGTAATACTCAACAGTTTTTGTTTATTGATGAAACGTTAAATGTGCGATTTTCTGACGGCCTGTTTAATGTTTCAATAACCTGTTTTGTTTCCATCGACGGTTTTGACCCCAGCATCTTACTCCACCTCTGACCAGCTAACCCTCTCCCCAACTCCTGCACCTCTGACCAGCTAACCCTCTCCACAGCTGCTGTACGGTGCACCGGACGCGGAGCTGGCCAAGCTCCGTCTGGTGCGGGACGCCGGCCAGTACTACTACACCAGCCAAGGTGGTAACACGCGAGTCGACTCCATCAGTGACCGGCAGGACTACAAGTCGGTCAGCGCAGCCCTCCGACTGCTCGGCTTCAGCTCGGAGAAAACCGACTGCATCTGGCGGACAATCGCCGCCGTCCTCAACTTGGTGAGATGAGAGCAATCTTCTCTGTCCTTTGCTGGATTTTAAAATACCAAGTCTGTTATAGATACGTCAGTTATTTTCACGAGTGATTGTGCTTTTGTCGGCTGTGTGTGCTGCCGACTCGCAGTTGCCTTACCTCCCTATCACCGGCTTCGAGCCCTCCGCGAGCTTATACTGCGGCACTGGTGAACCGTTGTTTATCGGCCCGGACTTTTCACGGCCGTCGGCAAAGTCTGTTATTCAGCCGGTATAACCCGTCATCAGACATGCCGCCAATGTTTTCGCGGTCCAACACGGTCTCTGTCCCATTTCGGCATCAATCACTGAGTATCACGGCATGTGTTATTTGTGTAGCGCCGTGGGCCGCTAATCTAGTGATGTGATTCAGATTGCAGGCGGCAAAAGTGGTGCTTCAATCAGGATACCCATTCAAGTGATTGTGAAGTGGAACGATTGAGTGAGACTGCAAAAATAAGGCAAATCGAGCTTTTCATTCTCTGAATCCCGTCCAATCGAGCAGTATAAATTTACGTCAAAACATTTTCTTTACACCAGACGTTGTCACAATGTAGCACGTTTCGCATGGAGCCGACTTAACCTCCAGCTCAAGAGGATATCACCTTTCCATCCGAGCTCCAGTTAACTCAACATTATCATGTCTCCAGGGCAACGTCGAGTTCGACGATAACGGCGAGACGACGACGGTGTCGACCCCTGAGCGTCTGGAGGCGGTGGGCGCGCTGCTGTCTGTTACCCCGGCCGAGCTCGGAAAGACCCTCTGCCACCGGGTGATTGCTGCCGGCGGAGAGGTCATGGAGAAAGGTCACACCGGGGTGCAGGCCTCCTACGGCCGAGACGCGTTCGCCAAGGTGAGTCCAGAGGTCAAATCTGAGATGGAATCATCTGAGGTGAGCTCAGAGGTCGAGTTAGGTAGTCGAGGGAATGAGGATGAGGACGAGTAAGGTGTCTTGTCCCGGCCACAGTGCTGTTGATCGTTCAGTAAACATTGAAAAGCAGTGATTGAATGGTATTTTGCAATGTTTAGATTGCTTTTCATCCTTATTTGCAGGTTTGTTTGATAGTAATAGTGCTTGATGTTACCACAAGTTGACCTCTGACCTGACCCCAGGCCATCTACGAGCGTCTCTTCACGTGGATCATCCAGGAGGTGAACTCTGCCATCGAGGTGAGGGAGGAGAGCCAGCGGTACCGCACCAAAAACACCGTCATCGGCGTCCTTGACATCTACGGCTTCGAGATCTTTAACAACAACAGCTTCGAGCAGTTCTGCATCAACTACTGCAACGAGAAGCTGCAGCAGCTCTTCATCGGTCAGTATATCGAGATCCCTTTCTTTATCGTCTATTTTGTGTCGTCCTATTTTTCAAGCTCAATGCCTACAATGTGTATGCTTTAGTTACTTTATGGTGAACGAGTCTAGTCACGACAACTCCATGACATAAGATGGAGCTGAAACGCCCCAAAATTAAGCTCACTGCTAGTGCGCTATGGTCCGTTCATTCTCCCGTGGCGGGGCAGCGGTCGGTCGGCCAACAGTTATCTCCCGACAGGCAGTGTGCTGTTATCTGTTTCCGCCCACACCGAGCCCACGCCACGGGCCTTGGCCTCTCAGTGTGCGCGGATACGGTGCTGGCTTTTATATTCATTTGTCTGTGGGGATGGCTGGGGCGGCCACCAAAACATATCGGATTTAACACAAAAATGCATGAGACAAATGAGACACTAACACTACGAACTAGTTTTAATTAACCGTACGGCAGATTTATGACCATTGGGGGATAATTGGTGCAGGTATGTTTCGCTGATGCATAGCGCCAGTGATAGTCATGTTTTGCACTGATTACCACAGATGAAAATTGGAATAGCCCACTTGCATCATAAACGCTAGCTGACTGGCTGTGCCCTTTTTCCTGTGGAATTTACGTGGTATACGACTTGCAGTGACGGAGCATAGCTAAGCCGTGAATTGTTGCTATTGCCTGTTTCGGCCCATATCCCGATTCCAGTCCCGGGGGTGCTTGACCTGAAGTCTTGGCGTGACATGACCACCCATTTAACGCAGCCTTGCATCATATTTATGTACGTGATGTGCCACGCGAATGACTCACCGTCAATTGCTGGTGATGAGCCCAGTTGTGGCCGTTTCTTCAGGGCTGGTGCTAAGCCATCTGTTGCTTACCGTCACAGGCTGGTGCGATGTGCTATATACCTTGGCTGGTGCTGCTGTTGAGCCATTTTCCCTGCAGTCAGAGCTGGTGCTAAGTCCCCGTTTCCTCTGTTCCCCCAGAGCTGGTGTTGCGGCAGGAACAGGAGGAGTACAGCAGAGAGGGCATCGAGTGGACCAACGTCGACTACTTCAACAACCAGGTGAGCTCTCATCACGTGCCTGGTGCTCTCAGCGCTGTGACACCGTGCCGAGGGCGCTGTCTCCCGGCCAGGGCCCGTTTGCAGGTGTCTGGTCCTGTGACCTGTGCAGTGTGCAGAGACGATTTGACTTTGAACGGACTCAGAAATCATCTGATGTTGAGCGATCTCTGACTTCTGAACCAAGACTTAACCGCAGATAATATGTGACCTTGTAGAACGGAGTCTGACCTTTGACCTGACCGGCAGATCATCTGTGACCTGGTGGAGCAGCCGCACAAGGGCATCATCGCCATCATGGACGAGGCGTGTCTGAACGTGGGCCGCATCACGGACGAGATGCTGCTGGAAGCGATGGACAAGAAGCTGGCCAACCACCGTCACTACAGCAGCCGCCGGCTCAACCCCATGGACAAGGAGCTCCGGCACGGAGAGGAGTTCCGCATCAGGTGGGTGGTGGAGTCGCGGCACAGTGGGCTTAGAAAGGCGGCTGAATAGGGGCGATATCTTTTCAGTGGTGTCGCTGTTCAAAAATGTTGTGACTTGTTTTCAGGCTAAGGGCGGGTTTGGGTCTCTGATCTCTTAAGGGTGGTGTGAAAACACCAATACCTATGCAGGTAGTAGTTTCAATTTAAGGCCGACTGCAGGCGACGATGATCGACGATTCATCACTATCTCACACGATGGGCCGTTAATGCATGCTACACGTCCCAGTCTGTACATTGAATACGCAATTTTTTCGATGAATGGGATCATCATTTGCATTTAGCTTTCCGTTACTTGCCGTTTCTGACCGACCATTCGGTATCATTTGCAGGCATTACGCCGGAGACGTGAGCTACAACATCACCGGCTTCCTGGACAAGAACAAGGACATGTTGTACCAGGACTTCAAACGGCTGCTGTACTCGTCACAAAACGAAACGCTCAAGTCCATGTGGCCAGAGGGTGCCCAGCATATCAGCAAGGTACGATGCTGGGCTAAGGGTGAACGATTGATGTAAGGAAACAGTCTGTAACGTCAAACGTAGGTGGATAACGAAATTAACGATATTTCAGATGGCAATCAGGTACTTGCGCCACCGGAAATCAGGACTCCCCCATGACTAGGTATAAGAGAGTGAAACGATACCTTTTCCTTCTATGAAATCTCGATGTCGACACTAACCACCAATATCACCATTCGTGTCACGTGTGTCTCGCCCGCATGTTCTGATATAAAGATCCTACTCTAGCGGCCCCACCTCACCAACGCTATATGCCTTCTCTCGCAGACGACCAAGCGACCTCTGACGGCCGGCACCCTGTTCAAAAACTCAATGATCGCGCTCATCAACAACCTGGCGAGCAAGCAGCCGCACTACGTGCGCTGTATCAAACCCAACGAGGAAAAGTCGCCGGTTCTGTTCGACCGGGAGCGCGTTAGGCACCAGGTCAACTACCTGGGTCTCATCGAGAACGTGCGCGTGCGCCGCGCCGGCTTTGCCTACCGACAGAGCTACGACCGGTTCCTGCGGAGGTGAGGACACGGCGGGGTGTTTGGTGGGTGTGGTTTCGGGTGTTTTCGGGTGCAGCAGACCTCCTGTCACGGGGATGGTTCTGCAGAGAGGGGAGGAGTGCAGGATTCCGGTGTTTTGAATCGTGCTCAGGAAACAGGCAGGAAAACATCGGGTGGTATTTGTAGCCCTCTGAGCGTCAACAACCTCTGAAAGGCAGTGTTGATTCAGGCCTAGACGGTGACAGCGGATTCATCGGAAAGGCATTCGTCACTTTTTAGCGCGTGTTGTCGTTTCACAATAGTATTGTTGGCGAAGTGCGAATGACGCAGCCGCTTGCACTGTTGTCTGGCCTTCCTAAGAATTCCTACCCCACCCCTTTGTGTCCTACAGATACAAGATGATCTCGCAGTTCACGTGGCCCAACTTCCACGGCGAGTCGGACAAGGAGGGCGTCAAGATTCTCATCAAGGAGCAGAACTTTGTTGACGACGTCAAGTACGGCAAGACCAAGATCTTCCTGCGCTCCCCGCAGACGCTCTTCAAGCTGGAACAGGTGAGAACAGTGATCCTTGAGTGATCCGAAGCCTCTAGGCTGAGTTGCCGTTTTCAAAACCTCGGACTATGCCAACGGACGAAGTCTTTAGGCATCCAGGCACTGTGGCAGATAGATGGTAAAGCGGATAACTCACGTATGCTCTTACGAAACGTGTTTGTTTTCAGGCGCGAGGCCGGCTCATCCCGCACATAGTGATCTTCCTGCAGAAGATGTGGCGTGGCGCGCTGTGCAGGATGCGCTACAGGAAGATGCTGGCGGCTCGTACCATCCTGCACGCGTTCAGGCGGTACAAGCTGAGACACTACATCAAACAGCTCAACACGCTCTTCAGGTGTGTGAGACGGCCTGGTTATGGGAGGATGAGTGGGGCTGTGCATTGTCCTTACGATCCGTCAGAGTAATTTATATCCCACAGGTCGTAATGAATCGACAACAGATGTGCAGTTGCAAGCACTTCGGCTACACGCTGTGAAATGTGTACCTACCGTTAGCTAAGTGATAACGAGTGATATCACATATTTCCTGCCGGTGCTGGCTGCAACATACCCTGTTCTGTTTACTATGTATCCCATCAACCCGCAACCCCCCCCCCCCCACTGAACCCTCGGCCCCGTCCTACCCCCTCCCACCAGCCCTCCCCGCTCTCACCCCTACCGTTTCAGACTCTATCACGCACACACCCAGCGCAGCCGCCCTAACCACCAGCCGCCCCCCCCCCCTCCCCCCGCAGGAACGTGCAGCGCTCGCCGGACTTTGGTCGCTCGGTGCGCTGGCCGCCGGCTCCCCTGGTGTGCCGCGGTGCCGTCGGCCACCTGCAGGCCATCCACCTGCGCTGGTGGGCCTTCATGGTACTCAGCCGGATCCCGGCCGACGAGCGGCCACAGATGAGGCTCAAGGTGAGCCACGAACGGGCTGAAAATGAGCTAAAAACGAGCGCAGTGGGAGCCAAATGGGTTCAGGGGGAGCCAGCCGAGCTGAAAGTTAGCCAATCGGCCCAGTAGAAACCAAACGAGCTCTGGGTAAGCCGAACAGATGAACAGCCAAAACTCAGCATGGGCTAAGCGACCAGAGGGCTCCAGCGCTCAAGCAGGCGCACACTGGATCTCTGTGCGCATGTCTTCTTCGAAGCTTGTGATCTTCTTGCAACCCTGATTGACAATTGTCATTGCCTGCATCCCATTGACCAATGTTCTATCAATGACCGGTGCCTTGTCTGACCAGTGACCTTCACTGACTGGTTAGCACCCACTGACCTATACCCGCTCCATCTACAGGTGACGGCAGCGGACGCGCTGCAGGGTCGCCGGCCCGAGTGGGGCGCCGGCCGCCGCTGGCAGGGCAACTACCTGGCCTCTGTGCAGGAGAACTCCAACACGGCCGGCTACGTGCAGAGCCTCTCTCAGCTGAGGACCAAGGACAGGTTCCAGAAGGTGGGCATGAGGGGCACACCCATTGACGATGAATTGATCGGCGGACGGGGTGCTGGGCTGAGCAGGGTGGGGATGCTGAAGGGACGAGTCCGGGGTGCTGGGACGAGCGGGCTGGGGCGCAGCTGGTCACTGGTGGAACCGACATGGAGTGCTTGTCACTGATATAATAACCGATCCGGGGTTGGAGAGTGCCGACCTAGTGTGTCGCCAGCCAATAGTATTGAAAGCTGGTTAGGGTTACAATAGAGCGATATCAGGCTAACAGCTTGAGCCAGGACCGGCCATTTGTCGAGACGTCCGCACCGAACCAAGGCCGCATTTGAGCCAGCATTGCGTCATACCAGTGTTTTACTGACTGCACTCGCAGTCTGAGCCATTTGGTGGCTCTTGAACCACGTTCTTTACTCCCTGCCGTCTTAGTTTCGGTAGCCGCTGACTGATTTCCCCTCTCGGACCGTTTCAGATCATGTTCTCGGCTCTGGTGCGCAAGTTCAACCGCAACAACAAGATGGCGGAGCGAGCCGTCGTGGTCACCGACACAAACATCTACAAGCTGGACGCCAAAAAGTTCAAGTGCCTGACCTCGCACCCGATCGCCGATGTAAGTCTCTGGGACATATTGTAGCGTCTCTTGTCTGGTTGGTCTGTGTCTACCCGTTTGTCGCTGATATTTCCCATACCTGCTACATTGCATGATTAAATCGAGACATCCAGGCATTTTAATGGCACGTGCACTGTACCACATTTTTCAAAGTTTAATGCAGTGCTTTGATATTGCCAGCCGTGTGGTTCAAGGGGTGTGGTTAAACGCGTTGAACCACACGGCTGCTGACGTCACTATCAATTATAGTTGTGAGCTTTTTGGCAGGTATGGGAAACACCCTAAAGCCGGGAAACGCCCTAAGGCCGGGAATTCAATAAATGTCACCTCGCTTTTTTAGCGAAAAGCGGTCTCGGGCCTAACGGCCCTCGGAGTTTTCGCTAAAAAACCTCGGTGACATTTATTGAATCATCCCGGCCCCGGGCAGGAATATATTATACCATATTATTACCCCACCCCGAGATGACTAGCGTGCTACGGCACCGTCCCCGGCCTCCCCAGGCGACTGGTTTGCCCCTCCTTCAAGTCGTCGGCGTACTCCCCCTCTATAAAGGAACCAATGTGTTTCCCTTAGGTCACGGGCGTGTCTACCCCCTCCCTCCGGTGACCAATGCCCCCTTCCTCAGGTGACAGGCGTGTCGGTGTCCCCGCGCTCTGACCAGCTGGCCGTCATCCACCTGCGCGGCGGTAACGACTTGGTGGTGGCCCTGGTGGCCGCCAAAGCCGAGGACAGAGTCGGCGAGCTGGTCGGCGTCGTGTGCCGACAGTACAGCGCGTGAGTAACACCGGCCTCCCCGAGCCCCGGACAGTCAAAGATCTGTGCTTTACTCTGGGATGTTGCCTCGAGCTCGTGCTCTTTTCCGTTGATTGCCTTTGTGTTAGTCAATACGTTATTTTCGTACCCCAAAGCAAATAACCATACTAGGCAGCGTTCGCTGCCTGTAGGCAGCGAACGCTGCCTAGCGTCAATACTTATCGTTCGTATCGTTCGTACTTCGTAATCTATCACACTAAAGCAGTGGTCGGCAGGTCATTCGGGGTCGTGCCGGGGCATTCCACGTCAAGTGGGACAAAAAATGACGATTTTGAACCTCACCTCCTCCGATTTTTGCGAAACTTTGTGAGCCTACTCATCTATATGTGAAAAGAAAGGAGACATTTTTTTTTGCCAAGACATGACGTCACGTTTCCGAGATACACGTCATCAAACATTGACTTCGGCAAGGCACATTATCATCTTTAAAGCGTCATAACTTTTAAAGTGTTAGACATATCACCACGCGACAGAGTTTGAAATGGAGGGAATAGATCAGGCTTTAATTTGAGGATCACAATATGGACGTCATTAACTAATTAGTGAGCATAATTAAAATTCAAAAAATAAATTTTAAATTTCTGAAAAATGGGTACCCTTCGATTTTGCTGATTTTTGCATATTTTATTCTTCCATACATTAGCTACTTCATATGAAAATTTCAGAATGGGCCGACGTCTACGTAACTGCCTTTTGGACTTCGTAATGTCTGGCACTCGCGCGTTTCGTTTTAGCAACCAAGGAGAGGCGCTACGCGGAGATGGTTCTTTCTACCTTAATCAAACCAAAGCAAACCTAACCTGACCTGACCTAATCTAACACGCGTAAACTTATGCATAGCCCTCACGGCAGTTGCTGGCTGGCCAAATGCTACTTCGATACGAACACTATAAAACAAAAATGAACGCGTGTTAAAACACTTGAGGCTGACCAGCCACGAGCCAGCGACCTATAGATTACGAGGTGGGTTGGGTACACTCGGCACACTAACTACTAAGCCACGAAGATAGCTGGTCATCGCTGAGCTGTAAGCCAGTTTTCTTTTTAATGATGCAATTGAGCATTCTCCCGGCAGCGCCTCTCTTTGGTTGCAAAAAGGAAACACGCCTGACTCTCCCAGCGCTAGGGGAGAAAGGCTCGGTTTAGTCAAAAAAAGGTATTAAAAACGGAATTTGAATTGTAGGTGGGGCGGTGGGGAACTTTATCGTGTGCCAATTTCATGGCCCTAGATCAATATCTTCGAGATCAAATGAGGTTAAACGTGATTAAATTTGCTATAGTGAATATTTTGCGTTTATACGCCCATAGCGCTAAGAGTTAATGGCCGATTTCCCTATTTCTTCCTTTATACGACATTTGTAGTGTTATGAGAATCTCTAGCTAATGTAACCATAAATTTGGCAGTTATTGGCCTGCTAAGAGTAAGATGTCGCCGGCAGAGGCGGAGATCGGCCGACGCGGGAAACGTTTCATTCACAGATTGTGTTTGCGCCCTAATAATTCAATTTTTACCTGTTGATTTTCGCATGTAGGTATTTGACCATTAGATTGCCTGTACATTTTTAAGCCTTCACACAAAATTTGACACGAATCGATCATAATCAGCGGTAAGAAGCGCGGTGCAAAGATGAGCCGTCCCGCGCCGGCACAGTCTACCATTCAGGCGTTAACGGCCGGCGCCGGCCGCCGAGCCGCTCCGGCAGGAATGTTTAACTTTACACCGCCATTACTAGAAAAGTTGTGGACCGATTTACCTATTTCTTGCACGGGAGGATTTGCAAAGTTCGATTCTGGATAGATACTGAAAGTTTGACGTTAATATAATAATTATGGCGTGAGTTATTGGCGATAAACAGGTGGGGTTAGCGAAATCGGCCCCTTCCACCGCCCGTGCTACGTTGCACTTCTTGTTGCTATATCACCCAAAGTTATCTTTGGCCCACTCTAATTTTCTCAGCACCTGTGCCTTACGTGTAGTGGAAAACAATATCTAAATTTGAGCAAAATCGAAGGGTACCCATTTTTCACAAATTACATTTTAAGAAATTAATTCAAAATAAAATAAATTCAAAATCATCAAAAAATGTAAAAATTGTCAAATTTTACTAGAATAACTCCTTATGTACACGTTTCAGTTTGTTTGAAATTAATAGCTTCAAAAATGTTGAAGCTATAGATCTTTCAAGATTGCAGTACACGTCCAATTCTGCTAAAAAAGCAGAAGTCTAGCAGCTTGTATCTCTGTAGCCCGAGGGCATATGACAAAATCCTTTCACCCTCAGAGGTTTCACCCAATAGGCAATAAGCATACCAAGTTTGAACAAAATCGCAGAGGTGACCGATTTTGGCTGTCCCGGTTGACATGGAATGCCCCTGCCCCCTTTTTGGGCGCCAGGCAGGGCCATTACCCCCACCTACCAGACCCCATTGCTGACACAACCAAGTTTTCTGAAATTCCATACCGTTTTGGAACTCTTTGGGTATTTGTGCATTTCCAATGCATCAAATTTAAAAGATGACACTTCCTCCACAAAACATTTAATACCTATATCCCAGTAGCGGAGGAACACCTTCAATTAAGGGGGAGGGGGGGGGGGGGCACTGCCGACTTTTGGTCCCATTCTTTCCATGCAACGCCCATAGGGCTAATGTTAAAATGCAAAAATGAAAGGGTGCACGGCGCCCCGGTGCCCTCCCCGTTCCGCCGCCTATGCTATATCCCATTTAACCCTTGTACGTATAGGGGCGGCGGGTGGTTTTTCGTTAAAATCTCACATAAAAGGCATTGGATCACGACCAAATTGTACCCTCGAGCCCATCATTTTTTTTTTACCAGCCTGGAAAATATCATGACCTGAGACCAGTTATACCAACAGAAAAATAACCGCCTGCCGGAATTTTTGCCTCAAGACCGCTTCACATACGGAGTGTAAACGCGATGGGCTCGTAAGCGGATAGGGCTTTACCGTTTACGCTCCATATGCGAAACGATCTTTAGGCAAAAATTCCGGCAGGCGGCTATTTTTCTGTTGGTAAAACTGGCCTCTGGACCCATAATGACCGTTGGCTTATGAGCTTTTTCTGGAGATCATCTTGAGCCATAAAATATCACTTCAAGAAGTTATAGCGGGTCCCGATTTTCTCGACACTTGTCATTGCTCTCTTGAATGAGACGGAATGACCAAGGACCTTAAAAATGGGCAGCAGCGGCTTCCTATTGTCACGGGTAGCACGCTCGTCTTTTTTATGCACAGCTCCATATCAGAGTCCGAGAGGCCGCGGGGGTCCGATCGACTCCTCCCCCTTACGTTAGCGGCTGTTGAAACGCCAACAGACGGGCGACGGTTAAAAGTTGCAGCTGCTTTTGTACGACTGTACGGAGGGGTGAGATGGTGAGGCGAGCAGGTACGTGAAAATTGGTATCTAATCAATGTATGCTGTGCCTTTGGCCTGGGCTAATCTTTGAACCCTGGGATGCAACAGTCACGATGGCTCCATCACTGGAGCTACAAACTCTAAAAAGATAGGCTTTCTCAGAATCCCTCATTACCCCCACCGAAAGGGCTCCATTACCCCCAAAGGGGGCATGCCCCACCATTTGCCGACCCCTGCTCTAGGAAGTGGAGACAGTGCGATATTCTACCTCAATAGTGAACCTTTACCGCGCTCTTCTGTTACCTAGCCTATATATTTTCCCCTCCCCTCCATAACTCCCTCAGCGACTGACAGCTCTCCCTCCTCCCTCAGTCTTCACTCTTTCCCTTTCAAGTGGCCGATCGCGCCCTCCTGCCTCCCTCAGTATTCACACCCTCCCTTTCAGCGACTGGCCACTCCCTCCCTCCTCAGTCTTCACTCTCTCCCTTCTCAGCGACTGACCGCCCTCCCAGCGACTGACTGCCCTCCTCTCGCCCTCCCAGCGACTGACTGCCACCCTCTATCCCTCCCAGCGGCTGACCGCCCTCCTCTCGCCCTCCCACCGACTGACTGCCCTCCTCTTGCCCTCCTAGCTCCCAGGGCGGCGAGCTGAGGGTGCTGGTCGCAGACCTCCCTCCTCTCGCCCTCCCAGCCACTGATCGCCCTCCTCTCTTCCTCCCAGCTCCCAGGGCGGCGAGCTGAGGGTGCTGGTTGCAGACCGCATCCAATGCATGCTCGGCAACAAGGCCAAGACTCTGACTGTGGAGATCGCACCCGACGCCCAGTTCGCCTCCTACCGCAAAGGTGCTACCAAGGACGCCATCGCGCTGGTGTGGCCCCCGCACCTCGGTCCGCCGCCGGCCTCCATCGCTAACGGCGTGAAGAACGGCAACGGGCGAGTCCACTGAGCCGCGGGGGAGGTCACATGGACGAGTCCATTCGGAACTCTGAGGTCACAGCAGTGAGTGGACCGCGAGGGAACATAACAAGGGGTCCATTGATTGGTTTGGGAGGGAGGGCGGTTGATATCGTGCGTGTGGTGCAGCGTTGGAGAGCGACGGGCGCTTCTGAGAAACTGTGTGCCAGACGAGAGTCGCTGGTGTGTTGGACACCGATCAAGTCGCTAGATGAACTTATACAACATGCTAACTACGTGCAAGTGGCGAGAGAAGTCCTTTTTTGCCGTGCTGGTTTTATGTGCTCCGGAGTCCCCAGTGTGGTGGTGCTTGTAGGCGCCTCGCGCTGGCTTGTCCCGAGCGCCTTCCTCGTTGGGAGCTCGGTCTGCTGCGTCAACTGGTTTTATGTGATAGTCGCCTGACGCGCGTGATAATCCGTTCCGTGGCGTGCGATAGGCAATGAATGCACGCGCTTTTAGGTAGGTTTATAGGATCTATTTTTGAGACGTGTGTGAATTCACGCCGGCCAGATGTTAATTATTGAATGAATGTAATTTCCAGCTTTTGCTGGTGACCAGGAAATTGACTGTTGACTGATTGTTGACTGTGTTGTGTCTGTGTGACTTGATTGTGAAATGCTACTGATTCGCCTATCAAGACTGTGCCTCATAAATGATCGTTGAGCGCGACGCGTTTTCTGATGGAGAATGAGACCAAGGTTACTCCCAGTACCACTATCTGAGCAATCCAAAGCCACTGTTCCCGGACGTTCTGTATTCGACACACACACGTTGACTGGCTGGTGCAGACGTTCGGATATGGAGTGCAGCCACCAACACACCACGCTCGCGGCAACATCGGCCCGGGACGGCCGACCCGACCGTCCTGTCCTAACGTCATTAGAACGGGCGCGCCTTCGAGGCCCACCGGCGGGCGCATCGACACCCGAACGCGGTAACACTGAGACCCGACGCGGACACTGCCGTGGAAGGGAACGCGCAGGGACGGGACGGTCACACCAGGGGTGCATCATCGCACCAACACCGAGGAACATGGACCCAGCAGTCCGGTACACAGAGCAAGAAGCACAGGCTGTCCCAGTCAGACTAAAGGCAGGGAAGACAACGTTTTAGAGAAAAAACGAAAAGAATTAACATCGAATCTCCACCTAACAATATCCGTTTGCGGAGCTTACATATAGCACACCAACGCATATCATGTGAACACTTGCACCAAAAAGATCTATAAGTACTAATTTTACATATTTGAAGAACGTAAAAACCAAACTCTTTCCTCTTCGAGCTATCACGGAAAAAGCTCCATACATATGCACGACGCATTTTCGACTTTCGACCGTTATGGAAGCCGGACTATGATACGCGATCACAAACCGTTCCCGAGACTGAAAGGACACATACACTCGGCGGTTGAGCTGACTAGGCCGGATGGTCTCCGATAATAGATAGAACTATTCCCAACATACATCAGACCATACCTCTAACAGCCGAATGTCGTAAGCCAATAAGCTCGATCACTTTGGACGTGTGGGACCCAGTTCGCCCATTACCGGCCCATTTCGGCCTCAGCCGGTACCAACTACCAATGGTCACAATCCTATCTAGTGCCAGACCCAAGCCGTGACCTAAAAAAGCCTTCACTGTCACTAATAAATAAAAACAAAAAGTAAATAAATTGCCAATATTCCATGCCTAGGAAGCAGGTATTATATATTTCATATTTGTGTAAATAATTCAGATATAATATCAGGAAATACCAGCTAAAAGCCTCTACGAAATCGACAGCTATTCGATCGATATCGAAATCTAAGTACATTCCTATCAGAGAACGTATGATCTTCACTATCCCTGAGTAAGGCAATTTTCCTAGCGTGATTTATACGCTTGAGCTATGCTGAATTCTGCCAAAGCCACCAGAAAAGTCGAAAATTCTGTTTTTTATACATCCCGTAAGCCGTAAGGCTCAAGGTCAATAGGTAAGAGGAAAGGCACCCGAGATCCTTCGAAGATCCTAGCTGTTGGATACCGGTCAATCGGTATTTCAGAACAATTTTGTCGCCTGTTTTATCAGATGGATGCCCGTCACCCCAGTCCACTTCGATCTCGTCTGGATTCACTCCACCACAAATTGACAGTTATTCCGTCTATGTCCACTCGGCCTGAGCCCGATGTGGGCCCACCTGAGCTGGCCTGTCCCAAACTTCACTATACAGGGTGCGGAAAAAGTTCTGTCATATCTCCGCATTTCCACAATCAAAGGCAACCTGAGCAGCTATATTTAATAAAACCACCAAACACTGGTTTGGCACATCTTACCACATGTTTTCACTCCCCCCTCACTCAATATAACCCCCCTCAGCGGTGATGACCTTCTCCACAAAGGGGTGAAAAGACTGGCATGTCTTGAAGATGTAGGCAGGGTCCATCGCCTCCCACGTCTTCACGATGTGCGCCTTGAGAGCCTCCACATTAGGATGGGACACTCCCTGGACCTCCTCCTGCAATACGCGCCAGATGCCGTAGTCGAGGGAGTTCAGGTCGGGTGACTGAGGACTGAGGAGGCCACGTCTCCCTGCGCCAGAAATGGGCCTCCCCCGGAGCTCTTCCGTCAGCTTCTGCTGGGTGGAGCTTGCAGTGTGCGCGGGCGCTCCGTCCTGCTGGAGCACAAAATTGCCGAGTGGATAGGTCCTCAGGATCCATGGGATGACGTCATTGTTCAGCAGACGTTCGTACACCACCCTCTTCATCTTCTCATTGGCGTCAATGATGATCATCGGACACTTCTTGCCGTCCGAACCCACCACGCCGAGCACCATCACTTTCTGTGGATGTTTATTCACCGGATTGAATCGAACCATCGGATCGACAGTCTCCCCCTTGGTCTCCCCTGCTCGTATTTTGGCTTTAATGCGCATGACTGTTCGCCAGGTGACTCCACTTTTTGCCGTAACCTGCTTATCGGTCATGCCCGATTTGGCCGCCGCGCACAGGCACCCAGCGACGAGGCGTCGTTTAGCCTGCCTTTTCATGACTGACCGTGAACAGCTGGTAGTTTCTGCCCTCCGGCCAGAAGGCTAGGTCACCGAAGGTCACGCCTGCGGGTATTCGCTGCCCAGAACTCAACCGCAGCGCTCGTAGGCGAGATTAGCATGCATATGACAGAACTTTTTCCGCACCCTGTAAGCTAAATCCAGTCCGGCATACCTAGATCGGCCTAGACTCTCACACGTCAGATGCCTCCCTTCAGGGGCCGACTTGAACCCCGTACGGGCCGCCCAATTTAGCCCTCTCTGAACCCCATTCGGCACATCTCGGCCTGTCTCGAATCTGTCTCAATCCGCTGTGGGGCCGCTAAACTGGCGGCTTGTTTGGGTCCACTGTATACCTCTCAGTCGGTAACTGATTTGGGCACACTCGGGGTCCATCGTAGTCCTTAACCCTCCCCCTCAGCTGGTCACGTCCTGAGAGCCCTCAGCTGGTGATTTAAGAGCTCTCTGTAGGTAACAGAGCCCCTTAGATGGTGACAGAGCCCCTTCAGCAAGTGACAGAGTCCCCCTCGGCTGTGACAGAGCCTGCTCAGCCGTTGACCTGACATCCCATTCATCTGGTGAGAGAGCCCCCTCGGTTAGAGCCCCCGCAGCTGTTGCTCTGCGAGCCCGCTTAGCTGGTGACGGGCGGCACGATCTCGCAGTGGCGGATGGCCGGCAGCGTGGGCGGCGGGATTGGCGAGTCCTCCTCGAACACAATCGTCAGTCGGTCGTACTCGTGCACCCGCCGGCATCGCTTCACCTGGCGGCACAGCGCACACGCACTCACTCCCGAGTTATGAGCCGCACACTCGGTCACTCCGAGTTGAGCCGAACACTCACCAACTCCGAGCTGTGAGCCGCACACTCGGTCACTCCGAGTTGAGCAGCACGCTCACTCACTCCGAAATGTGAGCCGCACTCACTCACTCCCAGTTGAGCCGCACACTCAATCACTCCGAGTTGAGCCACACACTCAGTCAGGGTCGTAACGTAACACACATTCACATTCAATTTGGAAATTGAGCAACTCTATGATCAAGAGTTGTACATCCAAAACGAGTGCGTTCCATGGATTTGGGAGATCGAAAAATATGGCCCAGCTGACGGATACACAAAATACCAACATAGTTAGTTTCACATAGGTACGTGCTTTTGAAGCGTTCTATGGTGAAGAACTTTGGTAACACTGACCACGACCAGAAGCTTTATACATGCGTAGGTCAGGTCAGTGTTGTTTTTTCAAGTATTTATAATTTGAAGATGATCTTTTACTTACGCCGTGCTATAATGAGGTCATTGAGGTATCTTTGAAGGGTTTCATCACAAAGACTAGAGATAAAAGCGTAGTTATTTTACGATCCATGAGACCGTAACAAAAACACTTCGCCACAGACTTATCATTTCGACTCATTTTGTTACACCGTGATATCTGGTGACAGGACCAATAGAAGCGATAGTCGTTCGTTCATTGGGGTTTACGGGCGCGTCGACTGCGGTGGTCATTTTGCGCCCATAACGCTGTACTGGTAAAGCGGATATGTCAACAGAGAACTGACGAACTGAAGAAGACTAGAACTACTTGAGATACGTTATACTAGTAAAACGAGTATATCACAGGAAAACTGATGGATTGAATATAAGAAAAGATGCTGCCGGATAAAACCCAGGGTGAGTCATCACCCAGCAGGTGGCGAATGGTGGTGCCTGGGGCTATGCGGCCGAGGCAGCGTGTCCGGTTTGGTTCGAGGTGCGGGCAACTTAAGAGAATGTGAGTGACTGTGAGCGGCACGGCACAATGGCTACATGTTGGTTGAGCATCTCCACGGAGGAGATAGCCATGCGTTGCATACGTATGCCCTATCCGTAGTCTGCAGAGGACCACTTCATGGTATCTTTTGCCTTGAAAGCAGGACTGCCAGGGCTCCAGAGTAGGTTTCACCTTTCGTAGCTTCTCGGATCCATGGAGACGCCACTCTGTCTGCCAGCTAAACGTCGTAAAAGATCGAACGGCTGGGTAAAAATCGCGAGCCGGCAGAGGCAAACGACGGAGGCAGGGGGCCGCGGCCGCGCGTCTTGCGGCCGCGTCGGCAAGCTCGTTGCCTCTTATGCCCACATGGCTCGGTATCCAGCAGAACTGGATGAATTTACCTGCTCGTTCCACCGACGTAAGACGAGATAAAATGTCTTGTACTATCGGGTTGTCTGGATTAAAACTCCGTAAAGATAAGAGGCTGCTGAGGGAGTCTGACAAGATCAGATAGCAGGAGCTGTCAGACACCTCGATAAAACACAAAGCCTTCTCAATTGCAACGAGCTCGGAAGAAAAAACAGAGGCAGAAGTCGGCAAAGAGAATGTGCGTGTGTCATGACCAGTCACAAAAGCGCAGCCGACACCATGTTCTGTTTTCGAGCCGTCTGTAAAAACCGAGGTAAAACCATCATATGAGGCAATGTGTTCCAGCGCCCGTGCTCGTAGTGTGCATAGCGGCTGATCGTCCTTCCTGATGTCTGTCAGTAAAAGATCGATTCGTGGATACGCATTTCTCCAGGGCGGCGAGGGCGCGCTCCACGTGCGCCTCACGCCGCGAAGAGAAATGTTTGCTTTTGAGAAGAGAGCTTGCATACGTCCACCGAAGGAAGTCGATCGACCAGCCACTCTGTCAGACCGACTGATCTCTCGCGAGAAGACATACGGGTATGCCGGGTGCGAGGGAAATTGACGAAGTTTTAAAACATACCGCATGCCCAACATCTGGCGACGGAGAGATAACGGTGGCTCGTGAGCCTCAGCCAGAACGCTGCTTGTTGGCGAAGTACGGAAAGCACCCGTAGCAACGCGAAGTGAGGCATGGTGAATGGTGTCAAGCATTTTCTTACGCGACTCGCTGGCGCTGTCATAAATGAAACTTGCGTAGTCGAGCTTTGAACGTACCAGAGAGCGGTAAAGTAAAAGCAAGGTTCGTCGGTCAGCTCCATACGACGTACGTGATACACATTTTAAAATATTCAGAGTTTTAAAACATCTCTCACGAAGAGTTTTAAAATGCTCATTATACGTCAGACGTCTGTCCAAAACAACACCAAGAAACTTTGCAACCGGCTGCGTGGGGATATTTCGCCCGTAGAGGCGGATTCCAAGATCAGGATCGTGGCAGCGGCGGCGGCAAAAGTGAACAGCCACAGTCTTTGAAGTTGAGAACTTAAGGCCATTATCCTTGCTCCACTTTTCTAAACGCGTCACAGCAAGCTGAAGTTGTCGTGACGTGTGCCGCGCACTTGAGGCGGAGAACCATACCGCCAAATCGTCGACAAAAAGGGATCTCCCTATAGCCGTTGGGAGTCTGTCGCCAATGTCATTAATCATGATAGCAAAAAGTGCCACACTCAAGACGCCTCCCTGTGGAATGCCATTCTCCTGAAGGTGGGAGCTGGACAAGTGGTTTCCAACCCTGACACGAAAGGTGCGATAAGATAAAAAGTTGCAAATGAAAAAGCCCATACAGCCACGGATACCATAGCTGAGAAGCTTCCTCAAGATGATCTGCCGTAAAACTGTGTCGTAAGCAGCCTCAATATCAAAAAAGATAGCCCCAAGGTGTTTCTTTTCGGTAAAAGCGGTCCTCACTTCGGTGTCAAGAGCTAAGATATGGTCAACTGAACTGCGGTGTTTCCTGAAACCACACTGCGCGTCCGTAAAAATGTCGTTATGTTCCAGAAACCAACTCAAGCGAGCATTCACCATCTTCTCCATCAACTTGCAAAGAGCAGAGGTCAATGAGATAGGACGGTAGTGAAGTGGGTCAAGTCCCGACTTGCCAGGCTTTAAAATGGGAATCACCGTGGCCTCTTGCCATGCTGCAGGAAACAAACCGCTCTCCCATAGCGAGTTAAATATCGCTAACAGTGTTTCCAGGGCGATAGAAGGAAGGTGCTTCAACATGGAGTTGTGAATGGCGTCTGGGCCCTCGGCGACACTTCGAAGCGAGGATATGGCGTGCTTCAGTTCAGTCATTGTAAAAGGCTCGTTATATTCTATATGTTCGTCAGTGGAAAAATCCGCCAAGCCAAGCTGGGGTCGGGCTCGCCCTAGTGCGGGCTGCGAGGGAGCGTCACCCCGGCAGCGCTCTGAGAGTGTTCTAGCTATAGCCTCCGCGACATCAAAAGGATGTATTATATCAGAGTTGTTCACCCTCAGAGTCGGAAGTGGAGAAGAGCTGAGCCGTCCCGAGATGCGCTTTATGCGTGACCACACCTGGCTCGTCGGAGTAAACCGGTTTAAAGAATTAACGTAGGTGCGCCATGATCTGACCTTTGCCTCTTTGATTGTGCGTCGTGCAAAAGCCCGCGCTTTTTTGAAAGCGATGAGGTTCTCCATGGTGCTGTTTCGGTTAAACTGCTTGAAGGCGCGTTTCCGTGCTCGGATTGCGTTCCTACACTCTTCCGTCCACCAAGGGACGGGAGTGCGGTGGGGCTGTCCTGATGTCTTAGGGATGCACGCTTCGGCGGAGCTTAAAAGTAAAGACGTAAAAGCTTCCGCCGATGGAATACAGCCGTCGGCACTGGACAACGAGGTTTCCATCAAAACGGAAAACTCGGCCCAGTCGGCTTTATGCAGGTTCCACCGTTGTGGGCGCTTCCCCAGTGTCGGGGTATCCTGGTACGCAATCCACACCGGAAAGTGGTCACTGCCGAGTGGGTCGTCATGTACCGACCAAGTAAAGAGGTGAGCTAGAAGCGGACTTGCCAAACTCAGGTCAAGCGCCGATGTTTGGCCGGAAGGCAGAGTAAAATGGGTTCGCTGCCCTGTATTAAAAATACAAAGCGACTCATCGCAAATAAAACTTTCTAAGGCACGACCACGTGGGCCGATGTGATCACATCCCCATACCGTGCTATGAGCGTTGAAGTCGCCCACCACAAGGACTGGTGCCGGGAGCTCACAGAGAAGGTGGCGCAGTTCTGCCTCCGGGAAAGCTGTACCAGGAGGGAGGTATAGCGAACAGACTGTGACTTCCCGGCGGTATAGGTGCACTCTCACAGCTACTGCTTGCAGAGGAGAGTTCAGTAGGAGCGGTGTGACTGGCAGACTGTGGTGCACTGCTATGAGGACACCACCATGTGCTATAGTGTCCGAATGCAGGTCCCTGCGGAAGACGGCATAGCCCCTGATGGTGCAAGTCATAGTTGGCGCCAGCTTGGTCTCCTGGAGACAGATTATGAAGGGGTTGCGCCCACGTATGACCGATTGCAAGTCCTGGAAGTTTGGTTTTAAACCTCTACAATTCCACTGCAGGATAAAATGTGCTATAGCTGTAGTTTTGAGCGCTTAGGTAAGCGGAAGGTGTCTAAAACTGTAGACTTTAGCTTGTGTTAAAAGAGGGCGAGGACTTAAAAACGCTCCTCGCCGCCGGGGCCCGGGCTACCACCAAAGACCACCTTTGGACGGCCCTCGCGGAGCCTTCCATCGGCAGACCTAGGACGGCCGGTAGCTCCCGGTTGAAACTTCAGCCGCGAGCGGGGGCTACCGTCGTTTGTCGGCGATAGCTCCCACGGAAGTGTGCGCTTCGTGGGGCGGCCTGGGGCGGGCGGCGGCCCCGCCGGTCTCGGTTCCGAAGGTGGCGTGCACGGAGGAGGCCGAGACCCCGACACCTCGCCCGTGGAGGGCGCCGGAGGGGCACCGGAGGGACGCTGTGAGGGGGGCAGTGGGGGCGGTGGGAACGGAGGAAGTGGAGGGGGTGGTGGGGGAGGTGGGGGAGGTGG